GTGTGTGTGTGTGTGTGTGTGTGTGTGTGTGTGTGTGTGTGTGTGTGCGTGTGTGTGTGTGTGTGTGTGTGTGTTGGCAAACAGTGCAGTCTGGTGATAAGAAGTGTAAAGGTTTGCCAGAGGCTAGGGAGTCACGCCATGGCTTCAAGTCGCACGCGCCGTTCTTGCACATAAATAGACACTACACGCTAAACTCCACATTTGGGCACATTATCTGTGCTATATTGATTCAGCTTTTTGGGGTTCGGGTTAAAAAGAGCTACAGTTAAAATTGTAATTGCGAATTCAACTGACAAAACTATGCCAGGCCTCAGATGTTACTTGAGTACGGAAGACACCTGACCAATCGATCAATGCTGACTTCTTGTTTCACATGTGGCACGAGCAGCGGTCTCCTTGAGGAAGGACCAGTGTTTGTTTGACCCATCGACCTCCCCTCCCGCTCGCACTGCCTGATGTTTTGCGGTCTCCATGCTTCCTGCCTGACTAATAACATGAACGATGGCTTTATTCAATTTTAGTGTCGCAGAAAGTGTCTTGACAGTGTGACAGTGAGACAGTATGCACAATACCAGGACCTGAGACTGAAGCAACTGAGTTCAGCCGTTATTCCTTTGATTCTTTACACCTCTGCTTTTCCTACTGTGACATGGCAACATTAAATAATCAATAAAGAGGGCCCAGTCTTTTTAAAAAAAGGACATAAAATCAATAAATTATTAGGCACTAAATGGTTAAGATGAAGGTAGTGTAAATACACATGCATGCATACTTCACAAAGTAGAAGGAGAGTATTTGTAGACACACACACATTCAGTATGAGATCACATACACATTTCCTCCAGGATATCTGACCTCCAACTGTGTTGATTGGATTTAGTCACAGAGTTGACATAAACACACACTAAATGCGTCCAATTTCAATTCTGGTACAACAGAATTTATATACTTGTGGTCCAAATTACATTTTTCAAAATGCATATAAAGGATGGCATCCATCAAAAATCTTTTGATGTCTTTGATTTCAGAAGTAATATGAAAAACTTTGCTTTGTTTCCTTGAGCTTTGGCTGAAATTAAACCTTTTTTGAATTATGAAGAAATTCCTAATTTGTTTTTTTGTTTTTTTCATTGCACAGCAACAATATTATTCCTCTTTTTATTTAGGCCATCAAACCATGGGAATGTGATTAATGTCAGGCAGCCATGGTGCACTTGAATACATACACACACACACACACACACACACACA